CTATGTCAGGATTGGGTAATTTACGCGCCTGCTGCCTTCCTTGGATGTGGTAGCCATCTCTCAGGCTCCCTCTCCGGAATCGAACCCTAATTCTCCGTCACCCGTTACCACCATGGTAGGCCTCTATCCTACCAACGAAAGTTGATAGGGCAGAAATTTGAATGGAACATCGCCGGCTCAAAGGCCATGCGATTCGACAAGTCACCATGATTCGCCKCAACAACGGGCAAGCCCGGATCGGCCTTTTATCCAATAAATACATCCCTTCCAGAAGTCGGGATATGCTGCACGTATTAGCTCTAGAATTACCACGGTTATCCGAGTGGTAAGGAGACCACCAAATAAATGATAACTGATTTAATGAGCTCTTCGCAGTTTCTTTTTTTATTATTATTTTTTTATTATTATTATAAAGATCCATGTGGTAGTAGGGGCTGGGCTCTATGCCTCGGGGAATGTCTGATTTGCATGTTCAAAGTGGGGGGATGACTTAGAGGATCAACATTTTCGGGGACACCTAACCACAGAGACTATACTTTCAACTGTGTTACTTTCAACAGTCGTGAGTTGAGCCCCTATAGCTGGCGACCTACACCTAGCCTAACTAGACCGAAGCCCCCACCCGCAATGTGCCAAGGATCTAACTACAGACCCCCGATTGCTACCATAGAGGACACTCTGATTACTCAGAGACGACCAGTAGCAGATTTGGGCTATTTCCAACCTGCATCCACCGCACAGACTCTGGTGGTGAACCACACTTCTGTGAACGGTACGACAACCACCCTCCCTTTCCCAGATGAGTCTACTACCTGGTGGAGTCCCCTTCGATGTGTACCCGTAAGTGATCTCTCCAGCGGGTATGACAGACCAGACACTATCCCGAATGAAGTCCATCCCACAGGCATCGTAAGATATTAACGGGGGCCTGCCTGCAGGCATCGTAAGTAAGTAGGACCCGTCCTACCACGACCACTCTATAGGATGCATGAGAGGCGGGATCAGACCAGGACCAGGGCAGGACAAGTATGGGTTCAACCATCGGTGGAACCCTGGACCGGGAAACCCAAAGTTTGGTACCACACAACATCCAGAGCCACCCCAGGAACCCACAGATATCCCCCATGGAACCTGAGGAGGTTCGTACCCCTCATGCGGACTGACACCCTAACCTAACCCGACCCCTCATCTAAGCCCAACACTGGCCAGTATGTCTGGTGCAGACCCGATCATCGGACTGGAGGCCTGACTAAACCCTTCGGGTACTCCTCTTTTTCAGGCGCAACCCCACCATCGGACTATCCTATGGACAGTGCAAAGTGTTCACACTTAGACGTGCATGACTTAGTCTTTGAGACAAGCATATGACTACTGGCAGGATCAACCAGGTAGCGGGTGTGACGAGCAGCCGCAAGGAGCGATGGCCGAGGCGCACGTAGGCACGTCACGCCGGACAGCCTACCAAAAGAACGTCGAACAATCGTGGAACGTACAATGAGCTGCCGAGACGCCGCGAAGTCCGGCTGTTTGAATTGCAGGTGAACTTCCCTCCGTAGGCCATCTCCAACGGCAAGGTACCGCACAATCTAACACAGCCCTCCGCACCCGCCCAAGAGATTGGCTGCGAACAGCACCCGCCCACACCACACCCAGAGATCGCAAGTTAACCACACTACCCGAACAACGGCGCGTGCGAAGGAACCACCAACAGCTTCGGCCCACAGCCGGATGCCACCGCCCGCCCAAAACGTACCGACAACGAAGTGCACAGACTCATCTCTCCATCGAGAAACGCGGGTGAAGAGAGAAACGAATGCGCCACGCTTCCAACACGCCCGGACGGACGGAAAGCCTCCACCAGTGCACGGGGGCGCAAAAGGAACACAACCCCTCTCCCCCCTGGGTCCACATCCGCCGGTTGCCAAAAGTCGGGCGGATGACGGGCCCAGCCTCGGGACGCCATCGGAGGGTGCATCACGCATCCCACAAGTCTCCGCCCTTGCATACGGTAAGCAGCACGTAGATGGCCGAGGCCAGCTGCACCACCGCTCAATGGTGCCGCTCGGATGTCGAAGAGCGCAGAGCGTCCTCACCAAGTCGTGACACCCCCTCAACACAAACGGAACGCGCCGTTGTGAGTGCAGACACAAAGACGACACCACAACAGAGCCGCAACAGCTCTCCCCGTAACCTACGGGATGATGGTGCCGAAGCTGAGAGCCGGTGACGGGCACCTTCGCCTCCACACCCTGCAAACGACCGCCAACCGGACCGCTGTCGGCGATCAGGCGCCAATCATCGCAAGACGATGAGCAAGGGTGAACGCAACGATCCACAACCCGACACCACGGCTTAGGAAAGCCTCGACAGCCGCGACCGCCGCCAACGACGACCGAGCTGTCGTGAAATAAGCCCTCCGAGAGAGACCACCATGGGCCCGAACGGCGCCGCAAAAATGTTTGCTCGACCACCAAAGCACGACTCGCCGGTCCCTCGCAAACTGGAAACCACCCAAAGCGTGTGCAGAGAGTCCCCCGTAACTCGAGTACAAGGTCCCAAAACCCACGCCCTGAACGTCGCCTTCATCGACTGCAAGGGGGCTGCTAAGCACGCAGGCCCCTATAAGAGTGCAAACGGGACTCCGAACCGCCAACCACCGACTGTATGGCACATCCGGAGGGTGCTCACTGAGCCATCCGCCGAGGGACCTGCACATGTCCCTTTCCAGCAAGCTGACTGGACAGACCCCAATGCCGATGTCCCCCTCGGGACCTCATCCCTTTCCGCTCTCAATAAGACGCCTBTGGACCTTCGATCCTGGGAGACCCCCTTTTCTCGGGGCCGTTCCTACGCCCGAGTGGCAGTGCGCGGTATTTGTTGCCCCCACAAAATTCGACACCTCAAAAGTCCGTCCCATCTCCGTCCCTTCCACACACAAAGGGACAAGGGGAAGGGCTGGGGAAAAAAAAAAATACATTGAAAAAAAAAAAAAGAGGGAGGAAACAAACAGAGAAAAGGCCAAGCAGCTTATGTGCCTAGCGACTCAGATCACTCCGTGGTGTGGGAGTAAAAAGTTTACGGGAAGTCTGGCAGAATCGTGCGTCCGTTGCGGGGTTATGTGTTGGCGAACATGACCGGACACGCACTCCAGAAAGAGAAGGGGGGAAAGAAAAGTCAAGGATGACTTGACAAAATCGTCATTTCAATTTGTGTCGGCCCCGAAAAAAACTGCATCCGGCAGAAGAAGTGAGGCCGAAAACCCGACGGCCATAAGCATTTCCGTGCATGTCCTGGAGAACACCATGGACCCAATCAGGTACCGCCTCCAGTGAAGCAGGCCGCCATGATCACGCGCAAGAGCGGGGAGGGCCGGATAGGGCAGGAAGTGGGCTGTTTGCCCCCGCCATGAACATCATTTGGAGGGGAGGGGGGGGGCGCACAAAGGGCAGGAAGTGGCCTCTCTGTTCCCAAAGCTGGGGGGCGCGCTGCCCCACCAAGATCATGACTACGCAGTCGCGTGGGGAGGGCCACGTAGGGCAACAAGTGGGTATTTTGTTCCCAAGCCATAATATTACGCACACACATRGGGAGGGCCAGATAGGGTGAGAATTGGCTTTCCAGGTCCGAAACACCAGGGGCATGCTTCGTGCACCCCCCACCATGATTACGCTTGTACGCAGGGGGGGGCAGACGCCCTCCGTCTCTGCCCCTCTACTAAAAATCTTCCGTTAAATTGATTGAATACTTGCTTGAGCAAACTTTTATCTACAGAATGAGAAGATTCA